TTATTAGAGCATAAGCTTATGCTCTAATAAATTTGTTAGTCTCTAAGGTGCCACAAGTACTCCTGTTCTTCTTTTTGCGGATACAGACTAACACGGCTGTTACTCTGAAATATTTCTTTGGTTTCAGAAGACCAATCACATGGTTCACGGTAAGTGTCTGTGAGTGTTTGCAAGATAGAGACTCAGGTTATCAGAAGGAAAAGAAAAGTGGCCAGCAAATCATTTGGACAATGGAGGGTTAACTCTCACCCTTGAATGGCAGAGTAACTTACAAGACAGGATGCCTTTGCTTCTAGAGTACTTTGAAAGTTTGGTGCCTCATTAGAAAGCTCTTCTCAACCTTAACTGTACAAGTCACCCTCACTTGTTTTTGGAGCTTGCCTTCCCCAGGCTTTGGGTGTTTCAGCAGAGATTATTCATACAGATGAAGGCTGAAAACTTTACTGACCTGTCCATTCATTATGGGTGCTTTATCTGGAGCCCTTTGACCAAACCAATCCCCATTTCCATTGCGATCGCTGCTCTATGTGCCAAGGATGAATGTTCAAACCAATGGATCCCTGGCTTGCCATTTTGAGAGCATTTTGAACTATAAATTCTCAAACAGAAAGTCTGCTGAAATATAATTATGGAGACAGCGGCCCTCTTTCAGAAGAATTCTCCTTTTTCTGGAACATTCTTCGCTTCTCCTCTGCTGGGACCTCCAGTGACGTGTAGCACTTAGCATTCATCTAGAAAGCAGTCTTTTATGACAACCTAATGGGGGTATAAATTCAACCAGTCTGCCCCTTGACGCCAACTTTGCAGCCCTCACTATGCAATGCTGAAAAGATCTAGGGCAACGGGGCAGAAATACTTCAGCTTCATACTGAGATATTGGATTTCATTGCACCAGTAACACTCAGGTCAATTAATATTCGTCTCATTCTTTGCCTTGATGTGTTCAGCTACTGGTTGTCAGGAATCTCCAATTCTTGGTCAAATGACATGACCAAAAATTAATTTCAGAAGGATGTTGTAAACCCACCTGACAGAGTTCATTCTGCCTATGTAGACAAATTACACTATACCAAAGTCACCTCCAGGAGTAAGGAATCTTGTGTGTGATATGAAGAGATTAATGTGCAGACCATTAATTCAGTACAAGAATCTAATGGCTTTTTGAGGTAACTATGACTCACTGCACTCCATATTAACATTCTTATATAATATACCCTGGATGTACCATGGCTTGATATTGCAGATAGAAGAATTACATTTTCCACTACATTTTTCTTCAACATTTTTGTGGGTCTCACTAGGACATGTCATCGGAATAGTTACAGAGAGAGCGAGTCAAATAGGACTTGTCTAATTCACCTAGGAGAATAAGTTCAAGTGATTAGAAGATCGCTGAACCCTGAGTGTTTTTATACAGTTTTCTAGACTCACTGGAGGACTTGAGAGGCCCTGTGTTCCTGAAGGTCTAATTAGTTACAAACCAACCTTTGCGTAACTCCTTCAATTTATGTAGTTTTTAATCCTCCGTGTTTTTGATGATTAGTTTGTTCCTAACGCCGCATGGTGTGACATACACATTACACCCTGCAACTCTCTTTCATCTTACAACTTTATGGGCCAGCTACATTCCTGCTTTCATTCTACTGATTTCATTGATGGGATATTTGGAAGCCTAGAATAGTAAAGTGTCCAATGTAGTTGATGAGCCACGGTGAGCATGTGGCATTACTAATCACTGTCACTGGATTTTACTTCAGACTCTGCCACCGGCTCCCTGTGTATCCTACACCTCAATTGCTTGTTTACCTCCACATAAATCTGGTCTAATATTGATATTATGGTCAATGATCACAACTTCCTCAAACTTCAAAGCACTTCAGGCTCATTAATGTTGTATGTATCCACAGTGTTGTATTATTTTAATAGGAGAATATTTGTGCTGGGATTAGACACCCCCAAATTGTGGATTAGATTAATTTTACAAATGCATGTCAAGGTTTCTGATGTCATTCCAATAGTCAGTTCATGACTCCTAGCTTCCGAATTTGGGGCTCTTTGATTTTCATTCAAAAAAGTTTTTCATTTCCCTTTCCTTAAGAAACATTCCTTTGTAAACCTCAAGGGGCAGATGCTGAGCCAGGGTACATCAGCGCACTTCCATACACTTCTATGGCATTCGGTGCCTTCAAATTGAGGGGAGGCACTGGCACTGCTTAGGTTAGAAGACATTGTGTTGGGGGTGTATTTTCCATTTTCAAACTCATTCTAAATATAGCTGAAAAGCTTTCTGTGAAGAAGGGATTGGCAGAATTCCCTGGGTTAGTCAGACTTGGAATGATTCCAATCTCCTCTCACAGAAAGTTGACCATTGAAGAAGTACTCCTTAACGCCGTCTGTTTTGTGCTTCTTCCTTTTCTTTACAAGCTGAATTCTCTTACAGGACTCAATTGTCTTGGCTGCTCATGAACGGAGATGCAGTAGCTGATGTTTCCCATTGACTTCACTGTACATTGGAAGTTGCGGTTGCGGTTGAAAGTGCCGAGTACGCTCAGACAGATGCACTCCACACAAGATTCTCTCTGAACTAACCTGGATAAAGTGCCTTTCTTCAGTTTGAAGCTGTGCTGGTACACACTGGCTCAACGGCCACCCTTCAACTGTAAAGTAGATGTAAAAGGGAAATGCAAAGGTACCTTGAATGAAAATCAAAGAGCCCCAGTTTCCGAGGCTGCGGATTACAAACTGAATACTGGAAGTAAATATTATTACTACTATAATAATACATGTCTTTGGCAGTATAAAACTGGATGAGTGGTTATGAAGTGCTTTGAAATGCTTAGATCAAAGAAAGCCTGTTGTTTTCTCAATTTGTAAATGTACCTTTTGCTAGGGTGTTTACCTCTGTTTGCTGGAACTTTGAACCTTTAAGTTTGATTACCCTGTAAAGTTATTTTCCATCCTGATTTTACAGAGATGATTTTTACCTTTTTCTTTAATTAAAAGCCTTTTTTAATAACCTGGTTAATTTCTCCTTGTTTTAAGATCCAGGGGTTTTGGATCTGTATTCACCAGGGAGTTGGTGGAAGAGTCTCTCAAGGCTACCCAGGGAAGGGAGTTAGCCCATTGGGAGTGGTGGCAGCGGACCAGATCTAAGCTGGTAGTAAGCTTAGAAGCTTTCATGCAGGCCCCCACATCTGTACCCTAAAGTTCAGAGTGGGGAAGGAGCCTTGACAAAGATATAAAAGGGAAATGCAAAGATACCTTGAATGAAAATCAAAGAGCCCCAGTGTCAGGGGCTGCGAATTACAAACTGAGTACTGGAATAATATTGGACACCTTGACATACATTTTTAAAGTGAATCTAATCTTTAATATAGGAAATCTAATCCAAGTAAATATTATTACTACTATAATAATACATCTCTTTGGCAATATAAAACTGGATGAGTGGTTATGAAGTGCTTTGAAATGCTTAGATCAAAGAAAGCCTCACACAATCCATTTTGAAAGTTATTATTATACCTGTTTGACATAGAGGTGAATGAAGGTCAGACAGGGAGTGATTGGCAGAGTCGGAAACAACACACCATAGTTGGAAGTATTCATGCCAAAAATTAACTCCATCTCTTGAACCCCACTGGACACTTACCGTTCAGTGCTTCCAACTATGTCACTCACCTGAGAGGAACTCTTAGAGAGGCTCATTCTGGAATTTTTCTTATTTTGTTCTGATGATTTTTTGGGGAATCTTTTGGTGAAACATCTTCTGATCTAAATGTGAACCATAATCAACAATCGAGGGTTTTGCACTTCACTATAACTCCCTTTATTTGAAGTGCTGGCCCAGTGGTGAATATTTACATTTGAGCAGGTTTAAATTATCTGGCACCAAATTGAATTGAATTGAATGATCTGGTACCGCATTTTAATTCAATATGGAGAGTTTTATTCCTGTACAAAACATGAACAAGCTTGAAACGTACACACTTGTAATTTCTTTGGACAATTATTATCCTCATGTATAAAGAAGGCTATGTTAAAGAGACGACTTACCCTGTACCTCATTTCACAAATCTGAAAGAATTCATTACCATTGGGTCACTTTGACCCATGAGAGAGATGTGTTTCCAAGGACAGAAAAAGTAGCACACATGCTGCAATTGGCGACTCTGTCCCAATGGTTGACATGCCTTAAAGCAAGTTTTTGAAGCTTGAATTATACATTGGGATTTACAATGTTATCATACGCATGGGAAAGAAATTAACCGACTTGTAATTCCTTTGGTGAAGTATTGTAATAATGTATAAAGGAGATACAGGTAAAGTGGACCAAAATTAGCCAGGTTCTTTTATCGTTGATGCTTAGATCCAAGGATGCACACATTCTTTAACAAGACATATTGCAAACCTTATCTTCTAAAAGAGTGTAGCAGGGATGAAGCACGTGCTTAGCCTGTGGTGGGAGGAGTCAGAAGTATTGGGTTGTATTTCTGTTTCTGCAACTCACACCCGTGCAACCTTCACCTCAATGAGCTTCTTTTTTCTATACCCATAAAACAGGGATAGTAAGGATGTTAAGACTGGAAATTGTTCAGTGTTCTTAGAACTCAAGATATCAAAGCACCTGAGAACACTCATTGGTGGTTCATAAATGCAAAGAGTTTTATTCTTAGAATATTATTAAATTGTTTTGGGATTAAATGCCTCTGCATTGACTAATAGAGTCACTTAACAAAAATAGACCAAGAGACTACTGACACTCAATCTTGAGCTAAGATCGAGTATCAGTAGTCTCTTGGTCTACTCAAGGCTGTGATCAAGTGTCTTGATGTTTTTGGTCTTAAAAAAAATAGAGGCCAAGATCTCTCATCTCATTCTTTTAATCAGGTCTTGATTTAAAGCCACAGCATTTGGGGATGTTTCATTTTCATTCTAATGTAATTTTGCATTTGGTATTTTTAAATTATTTTTATAGGAAAAGGAAGGTGCTCTCTTGATGTAAATCAGCAGAGTTGCTTCATCTTCAAAGCGATTCAGGGCCTGAAAATCAAAGGAAGATATTTCTGCCTTCTTCCCGGATACAGAGGCACTCCTGGAGATACAGTTTACACTTAAAACAACATTCCAGTTCTTGCAGGATTGTTTTCTGCAACATGGCCTATAGCTGGTCAGATTTTATGTCATATCTCATACCACAGCACTCTCCTCCTTTACCAAGACTCCATGATTTCAACCTCTCCTGGGCTTCTTCCAGGCTTCGTCAGCTGCATTATCTTGCAAGACCTCAGTTTCTTGTCAGCTCAGTCACAGAGAGACGGTTTCTGAGGGAGTACAAGTTTCACAGCTTAACTCAAAACCTTTCTGTAGAAGAGCACTGCTTCCTTTCACTCCCTACCATCCCTTCCCTTGACCCATAAGTAAATCAATTCTAGGCATCCCTCTGAGACAGCATTGGTGACACAAGTGGAGGTCCAATGCTAGGTCAGATTTGAATAACTGTAGAGTGAAATTCACTCCTGGGCAGAGGGTCATCACAAAGGCTCCTACTATACTTAAGTCCCTGCTAAGACGTAGTTTGAAAGTTTAAAGTAGAACTAAAGTTTTCCATAGGTATTGTTCTATCCCCCTGCCAAAGGGTGAATTTGAGACTGAAGGCCATGGAATATTTCCGATTGATTACAAAGGGAATTGGATCTGAGATGGGGATGGAGGTCGTGAGAATGCAGAAAAATAGCTCTCTGCTTCCTACCAAAATTATAATGAAATGTCCAGTGCCCCTAACAATGACCTGTTTGAACTGAAAGGACCAAAGGGGATATCTGCTCATGACAGCCAGTTGTGCTACTGATGCAGCTCTGAATGACCTTGACATGCATTCTCATTCCACCACCAAGAAAGTCAGTGGAATGACACAACGAATGCAGACTGCAACGTGCATTATTAGGATTATCCCAGTAATACCAAACCCTGAGAAAACAGCATGTTCAAAAGGAGGATTTACCGAGGCAATCAAGTTTGTTTGGTAACTAATTGGGACATCCTGTAAGAGACGCATCACAAATCCTCCAGGCAGTCCTAGAAACTGTATAAAAGCATTCATGGCTCAGATCTCCTCTAAACGCTTCTTTGGACTTCATCCCCTCGGTGAACTGGGTAAGTCCGATTCGACTCACTCTCTTTCTAACCCAAGAGCTGTCACAGTAGGGTCCATTTTCATTTAAGACTCAATCTTGCACATTCTCTCTGTGATTTTTAACAGGGAATAGGGTGTTCTTCCATAATTATCTTGTGTCGTTATTTGAAGCCAAAGTTGGGGATTTTAGGAGCACCATATGCAACCTGGAAACATATTTCCTATTAACTGGATATAGAATTAGGGCATTTAAATCTTTAAAGTAACATTAGAAAGTCCCTTAGACATTTTTAGCTTGGACAGATTAGGAAGAAACTTTGCCACCTTCGTCCATAAATGGGCAATTCAGGAGTTTTCTTTATTCTGAAGTAGCTGTTACTCCTCACTATTGGAGCCAGGAGAATTATTAAAGTGACAACTGGTGTGATCCAGTCTAGCAATTCCTACATTCTTATGAACAAAAATACCCATTGAAGATGCTTTTCCTCAGATGGTGTAATTTATTCTCGCTCCATGGAAGCCATTTTACCAGAGTACAAGGTCTGAGGATCTTGTCCTTAATGATTTATTTGGAGAAAGGAAAAGTTTCTGTTTATTCATCAGCAAGTATTGGTGACTCCCAAGGTTTAGAAAACCAAAGAGCCACACCCTGACACTGAACTCAACGGGTTTGCATGCAGAGGTGGAATCCTCAAAGGAAAGGAAAAGATCAGCATTATCCCAGCCATGTTCTCTTTGAGAAATGTCTATAATGAACACAGCATACCAGGTATCCTTCAAAGAAATAATGACACTTATTCCAGGTGGTGACAGGTCATTCAGAAGGTTTCAAAGGGGACAGTTGGGAGGTAAGTTTAGTGGGAGTGGATAAGAGGCAAATAAAGAGGACATAGGAACAAAAACATAGCCACGAACTTAGGGTCTAAGTCCTCTCCTCCTCTCTCTCTCGGGCCCTACTTAGACCTCACTACTATAGTAACTAAGGTTTGAGGCCTTTCTTTCACTGACGCTGGTATCTTTTCTTTACTCTAGTCCCTGTTGTGTGTTTCAGGTTTACCTCCATCACAGAAAGATGTCTTGCTCCAGCCTGTGCTATCCAGAATGCGGGGTGGCCCGACCCAGTCCAGTTTCTGGCAGCTGCAACGAGCCGTGCGTTAGGCAGTGCCCTGACTCTGAAGTCATCATCAGACCATCACCGGTTGTTGTAACCATCCCAGGACCAATTCTCAGCAATTTCCCTCAGCAGAGTGAAGTGGGAGCCGTTGGAGCACCTGTGGTCGGAGCGGGCTATGGGGGCTCATTCGGTTTGGGCGGATTGTACGGCTATGGAGGCCATTACGGAGGATTGTATGGTTATGGGGGATTAGGTGGTTACGGGGGCCGTTATGGTTACGGGGGATTGAGTGGTTACGGGGGATTGTGTGGTTACGGGGGCCGTTATGGTTACGGGGGATTGTGTGGTTACGGGGGCCGTTATGGTTACGGGGGATTGAGTGGTTACGGTGGACTTTGTGGTTACGGAGGAGGTTACGGGGGAGGTTACGGTTATGGGGGAGCATGCGGTTCCGGGGTATCTTGCCATAGGTACCTGAGTGGAAGCTGTACACCATGTTAAACACTGAAGGAATATCAGTGGTAAAAGAAAAGACCAGGAAATGAACAACAAGCTAGAGATTCAGACAGAGATTTCAGAAGTGCTGGGCAGGCATGGCTCCACTTGAATTCAATGCGAACTGTGTCTGCTCAGCCCCTTTCGATCATAGACCGATTGCTAATATTATGCCTGTAAACACTTTCTGCCAATGCTTTCCCAACCATGGGCTTATTCTCTTAGTCTCGCGTGGACTCATTCTGAATTACACTCAGGCTGTTTGCACTAGCCCCGCAGTGTGAAGGAAACAGGGGCCTTAACACAGGCATCAGTTGTATTTATTATCACTTTAATTTGTTTGTACAACTCTGCACCTGCATAAAGGAAAAAGAACATCTTGCCTCAAATGCATCCCGACGAAGCGGGTGATCGGTCCCAGCCCTTTTGGAAATACTTGAAATGCATCCTTTCTGCTCTGTATTATTTCTTTCTGTAACTGCATTGCAAATTCATTCTCATTAAAAACTGTGCTGCATCATAATATCGATCTTCTGGTTTTCCTTGTTCCTCCCTCCTTGTTTAAAAATCGTGCTGGAGAAAATTCATCCCTGTAGAGCACCAGACACCTCTCAAGTTGCAACTTTTGAAGGCGTGGAGTGAGAGGAGAATAAAGCACTTTAACGTAAATATTTCCTTTGATTCCAAAAAAACAATCTCATGGTTCGTGGAAAGTGTCTGTGTCAGTCTTTGCTGGATAGCGACCCAGATTTTCAAAAGGAAAAGAAAATTGGCCATCCCTAAAGACAAATTACACTACACTAAAGTCATCTGCAGCAGTCAGGAATCTCCTTTGTGATATGAAGAGATTAGTACACAGACCAGTACTTCAGTATAAGAATCGAATGGTTTTTTAGGAAGCTGTTCCTCACTGCACTCCATAGTACCATTTTTATACAAACCCAGGGGCTGCACCATAACTTGATATTGCAGGAATTCACATACCAAGATTGCATTTTCTACTATGATTTTCTTCAACATATTCATGGCTGTCAGTTCCCAGAAGATGAATATTTTCCACTGATCAAATTTTTGATTTGACAACACAAAAGGAAAAATGTATCCGGACCTTCCTGGCTCTTCAGTGACATGATGTAATACTCACATAATGAGGGGAGATTTAGCCATCTGCCACCGGGTTTTATTTAAGGGCAATACAGCTCTATTCCTCAATGTCAGAATACACCTAATGACCCCTCCTTGGAATGGAAGAACACAGGCATTGCTGCAGCAAATCAGGCCTCTCTCCCACAGTGGTGTGTGCCAGAGTCTTCACAGGGAGGTGCAAGAAACCCCGTAGAACACAGGTATGGGATCACCAGCCCATAGAGGATCTTTTTCATTATCCCCCATCAATCCGATCTACCTCCATTATTGGATGATACCCTGAAGCAGAAGAGTTTATATCCTTGCCAAGCTTGTAGAAATGCAGTAAATCCATCTCAGTCGGAATTTGCTCCAGAGTATTGCAAGCACCATTCTCTCTGCATCATCAGGGCCCACTGTGTTGATAATAGAGGAAGCAAATAGCCAGGCAGGCATTAGAAGAAAGACCCATCATGTGAAATATGGGAAACATTAGGCATGTTTGCAGAGGTGTTGGTTAAATGCAGCTCTTTTATTATTTCACAAAGAGTTCGATGTACTCGGCAATTCTCAAATCTAGGGCTATGCGCTAATAACTGAATCTGCATCTTGCTGTTCATTTCCTGGTTCTTCCTTTTTCTTTGGATATGCCTACTGGGTTTACCTATGGCCCCATCACCACCCCCACAACCCTATATTCCCCCCACAACCATATGGTACCTTGTAACAATAGAATCTCTCCTAACCATATGGACACCGATAACCATGTCATGTCCCATAACCACAGGGACCCCCCCAACCATATAAGCCTCCATAACGTTATAAGGCTCTATCACCACATACACCCCCATCACCACCTCCAATGTCAGCTGCTGCTGAAGATCCCACTACGCTTTCCTGAGGGAAAGAACTGAGAATTGGTCCTCAGAAGGTCATGACAGCGAGGGGTGGTTGGATCAGCACTGTGGGCTCAGGGCACGACCTTATGTAAGGCCTGTTGAAGCTGTCCACACGTGCTTTGTGGAGTGTCACTCCACGCATTTGTGAAACAAGACATCTTTCTGCAGTGGCGATAAATCGGAGACACACAGCAGGGAAGAGAGTAAATTTAATGTGTGTGGGCAAGTGGAATAAAACATTTTATATTGAGCTCCTAATTCAATTGAGGTCACATAGACACATAAAGAGAGAGACAGAAGGAGAGTGAAAGAAAGAACTAGCTATTTTGAATCCTTGTTACTTTATTTGCCCCGTCTCTAAGCAGTACGTAATTTCTATCACTAATGCTTGGGATTTTCAGTCCATTAAAATTATAACACAGAACTTGGCTGGGATAGCATTAATAATGCCATTTTCCTTGTTAGGATGTAACCTATAACTAGAAATGAGTTCAGGACAGCATGATAATGTGCTGGTTTGGCGTGTAAACCTCAGTGTGTCACCAACACATGGTGATCAAGGAAGGGAAATGTTTGAAATCAAAACACCACTTCCTCAGCTGGTCTCAATATGCGCTGTTCCATTGACTTCACGGGAGCCACCCTAAGTGAGACCAGATGAGGCTCTCCACCTACAATCACTTGTGCAAGGAAAAGAGAGAAATTGACAGACTTGTAATTCCTTTGGAGAGTGTTGTCCTCAAGTATAAAGAAGAAACAATTAATGTGGATCAAACGTTAGTCATTTTTTTATCGTGGATGCTTAGATCCAAGGATGCACACACTATTTAAAAAGTCCAGTTACTAATGTTGTCTTGTAATAGAGTCTAACAGGGACGAACCTCAAGCTTGAACTGTGGTAGGGACGATCAGAACTATTGGGTTCAAAGCACTTCGTGAACATTCATTGGTGTTTCACACATAAAAAGGGTTGTATTCTTAGAAGATTAGTAAATTGTTCCTGGGATTAGACGCCTGTGCAATGAGTAATAGAGTGACTTAAAAAATAAATAGAGGCCAAGGTCTCTCATGTCATTCCTTTAATCAGGTCACGATTCAAAGCCAAAGAATTTGGGGATATTTCATTTTCATTCTAATGTAATTTTACATTTGGTGTATTTATAGGAAAATGAAGGTGCTTTCTTGGTGTTAATCAGCACAGTTGCTTCAAATTGAAAGAAGTTCAGGGTCTTAAAGTCAAAGGAAGACATTTCTGCCTTCTTCCCTGGATATAGAATGTACTGCTAGA